AGCAGCCACCAGCTAACTTTTAGCTTAAGTTTATGCTTTTGCCACTACGCGTCACTAGATAGCCTATAGCGGTGTGGTGATAAAGTTCACTACAATAACTTTAGCTAAAGAGACTAAGCGAGAAAATTCTATTATAGGTATAGTGATAACGTTTACCACAGCATCTCTAATTAATTAATATAAAGATTTCATACTGTTCATGTATAATGAAAAGTTCACAAAGTGTAGATAGAAGAAAGCCTATGCTATTGATGTACGGTGATAAAGTTTTCTACCCTGTCTCTAACTATAGATGGAGAGCCTTTCCAGTTGTTGGTTTGATACTTGGTATGCTGATTAAGGTTAGTTAACTGAAGAAGATTTGCTATTACGAATCCTGTCAAAATCTAGCCTCCTTAGCTGTGCCACCAAAAGACCCCAGGTACAAATAGAAGTGATATGACAGAAGAAAAAAAACGCAATATGAAGGCTGCCTCAAAAGCCCAGTTGTAGAACCTGCTAAGAAGGCTAGTCATGATAAGGGGTAAGCTTATAAGAATTGTACATCGTTTCTGTATGTTTAGCTGTCGTCCTGGTGGAAGGAGAACGCTCTAGGCTTTTGTGTCAGCAATGCCAGCCTTATTCATCTTTCCCCAACTCTGGAACGCGTCGTTGTCCAGTCCTGACAGAGAAAAGAGAATCCACTAATCAAAACGGTGCCGCAACTCACAGACCCATAATAAGGCCAGGCAGACTTACTGTAACAGTTAGATAGTATTCACGGAGCGCTAGTTTCAGCATTTCTAGTGCTAGAATAGAAATCATATTTCCTCTGACTAGTGGGTAGTTGTATTATATGTGGCATTGTATTATATAACGCCTTTTACATATACCGTCTAAAGCAGAAAATGGTTTGCAAGATGCTACTTCAGTGTCTACTTTTGTTTCTTGGATTGAACATATAGATGCACAACAACTGATTCCATTTCTACTATATTGATTACAAGTTGGTATCAAATATTAACGTGTCACTAAGTGATAGAACAAAACTACAGGGACTTACAGCCAGTGTCGTTATCACGCTTCTTCCTCCCTAATGCCAGGCCGCCCCGTTTCTTCAACAGAACCACGGCCGCGATCAGAAGCACCATGATCCCGGCAACTCCAACAGCCGCTCCCACCGCGGTACCCAGCGGCACTCCGGCTGGTCCTGTGGAACATGAGGAACCATTCTAATGTCTTGATTATATTCTAAAGTTTGCTTTGATCTTCAGTTTGCCATTTTTCTCACCATTAAGAAACTAGAGGCAAAGGTGTGCTGTGTGTGACCTTTGTCTATTGATGTTTGATGGTGAAAAAAATGGCAAGATGAAGCTCAAAGCAAACTTTACATACAAAGTTCATTGTCGGCACCAAACTAAACGTGGTCCGCTGACTTTAAAGACGGATTAGGACAGTCACAACTAAGGCTTTATTCTAAACGGGTAAAATTCAACGGGCCGGATTTAATCAAGGAGGCACGACGGTTCTTAATGCACGTTGCGCGGCCAAAGGATACTGGTATTTGCTATTTAACCTCGTAAGTAGTTGATTTTAGTTCAGATTCATCTGTTTACACCGTTTTGTCCTTCTACTCTGCAGGAGTCTTAATTATGCGGCCCGAGCGGTAAAAGCGCACCTAGTGGTTTACCGTTCTTACCGTAAACTGCTCCGCAAAATACTTACTTAAATACTTGAAGGAGGAGATTTGAGAAAACGTGATATAATGGCAGTACGTACCTGTTTTACAGGTATTTCCGTCGAGCTGAAGGCTATCAGGACACGCACACGTGTGACCAGCCGGCGTGTTGAGGCAGAAATGACTACATCCACCGTTGTTTATACCACAAGGACTTGTTCCTGTTAGAGATTTAGCCAGATATGATTCGTTACTGCAGTAAAATGCGAGAGTACAGTGGAACTGTCAACCTAACAACGAACCTACTGCACCGGCGATCTCGTTGCGTTTATCTCGCTGCTAATGCCAAGTGAACAGGAGAAAATTAACAACCAAATACATTGCTGAATTCTGTGACTTAAATAAAACAGCGGCGGGCTTGACATAAGATAAAGTCTGGAAAGAGAGAGAAAGAAAGAGATAGACTAGAGAAAGAGAGAGAAAGAGAGAGAGAGAAAGAGACGAGAGAGAGAGCGAGAGACAGAGAGAGAGACAGAGACAGAGGGGGGTAGTTTCTCACGCATAGTCATACAAATCATGCGTTACCTGGCTGTTTGTCTTTGTCAATCAGCTTAAAATACCAAAGGGTATCCAATGGGTGTGAGCTATGGTCATAGACTACTGTTGGGTTCCTGCCTGTGTCCTTCTCTGCACTCATAATGGAATCTGCAAATGACATGTATTGTTTGACTGGTTATATTCATCAATATTTACAAACTGTATTAAATATTTTAGTGCAGTTGTAGAAATAGTGACATTACTGAAATTATCAATACATTACCGCACTGATAAATTATAAGAAACTAGAAAGGCCAATATTTGCTTTGGAGCAAATACAGCGATGGGTTCACCACATTTTACGACATGGCAGGGAAAGAATGAGAAACACAAGGGAAAACAATGATTTACATTGATATAACTATAATATGAAGTAACATACAACTAAAACAACAGTTGGATAGCTATTCCCTACTTTATTGGTTAGGATTTTTAATTGCATAATGCAAACTGTTGATTTTCAACAAAAAAAAAACGTTCATGCCCCGCATTCCAATGCTGGAGCAGAAAAGCTTGAAATACCTACCAAAACACTTGAATAAAGACATACTGTCAGTATGGAAATGCTCTGTGCAGGTGTTAATCAAGTTAAATCCCAACAGCCAATCAGCAAGAAATGCTCTGTGCAGGTGGAAATGCTCTGTGCAGGTGTTAATCAAGTTAAATCCCAACAGCCAATCAGCAAGAAGTATAGAGGAAAGCTGCATGCCTATTGGTTGATGCCCTGCATTCCATTGTGATGACTCATGCCCAGACGTGGTAAACACGGCACACTAACACAGTAATGCATTTGCTATAACACAGCCAAAAACTAAATAAAACCATTCTAAAAGCCTGTATCACAAAATTTAAAAAACGCCTAGGAGTATTTGCCCACTGTACCTCCATACCAAATTTCAGGACCTTAGGCCCTAAAATGAAGAAGCTGAATCCGTTTAAACTAGAAAGGCCAACATTCGCTTCGGAGCAAATGTAGGAATTTCACTCCATACCCTTCCCCAAACAAAAATGAGAGATTCTAAATAAATCATACTGCAATTATACAAGGACAAGCTGTTTGAATCTCGACAGGTATTTACAAAACTGGCACTTGGCAATTATCTCCCTTTTTTTTTACAAAGATACAACGACACGCACTTAAAATCTCGACAGCTTTACTTTACACTTTTGATGAGATTGTAACTACTACTAACGGAAGCAAAATTTTCACGGCCTGAGAAAATGGACATGTTCACGGAACTATATATTCACGGTGGTGACAGTTGCAGGAAAAAGAAAGCCCAGGAATTATTTCCTAACTGTAATGATAAGTTCACAATACAGAGGTGACAGTGAAAACCGTGAACATTGACCCCCGCTTGCGTTGCGGTACAGTGAAAAAAAATCGGGAATTACAGCAATCAATTTACTGAGTATGTTTGCTTAGTTTCCAGATGTTTTGTACTTGTAGTTTTTAAATGAACGAAAACCGATTGCGCGCACAGATGTTAACTTTTGTGACAACATCAAAGTGATTTTGGTTTGTATGTTGAAAAATACAAAAGACTAACATTCGAAGTTATTGAAATTCTTGAGTAAGAACAATCAGGTTTGGAATGTTAAAAGCAAAGCAATGGATATTAAAACGAAAATGTCAAAATTAAATGTTGAAATTGTTAAAATGTAAAATGGTTAAAATGGTTAAAATTGTTGAAATTGTTAAAAATGTTAAAATTGTTAAAAATTGTAAAAAGGGTAATTAAAAATATCCAGTGTACCGGGGTTCGAACTCGTAATGTCTGGACTTGCAGCCCTGCGCGTTACCAACCGAGCTATCTGGACACGTTTCCATTACTCTCTGCATTGTATGTCATATAAAGTGAACAACATGGCGGTAACGATCGCTTCAAGTACTAGTAAGGGACTTTCTAGGAGATTTCCTTCTTTATCAGGTTCGCTTTTGAACCACCGGTACCTTGATGTAACGTAACTATCAATCCGGCTAGCAGAAGCCGCCGCTCCCTGTCCAATCTTTGAAAACTGTCGGGGCGTGCGCCGACGATACACATTACGTACGGTTGTTTACAGTACTCGCGGGGCGCAGGTCATTGACCTCCCGCTTGCGTTGTTCCAACAGAGAAGAGCAAAATATCTGCCAGTTTTTGCGTCAGATTTTCAGTGTTTGTTAAAATCATATACAGGCATCCATGCAGCTATAATTCTTCCAACTAGTTCGTAGTTAGGTGAAATGTTTATAGGAATCACACGAATCGGTATCCAATATCAGAGTATCATGGCCCACGGCCGAGACCGCGTGGACCAGCCGCGCTGATAATCCCCCTATTGTACGTGAAAATGGTAGTAAATAAATTAATTAGCCAACAGCCAATCAACAGCCACATCTGCAAACATGACCACACCTGCTTGTATGCCCATATTTGGGCCTTCCCCCGAATTCCTTTCTTATTACGTCACGCGCGTACGCCCCCACAGTACTTTCCTATGGGGACCACTAAAAAGCAAATAAAACGATTGTAAAAGCTTGTATCAAAAAAATTTAAAAACGCCTAAGGGTATTTACCCACTCTACCTCTATACGAAATTACAGGTAATTTCGCCCAAAAATGAAGGAGTTGAATCAATTTAAAGAAGTGGCAGGAGGAGAAGGAGGAGGAGGAGAAGAAACATCAGAAAAAGCAATATGGGTTCACCACCACTTCGTGGTGTGGTGAACCCATAATAAAAGGCCATACATATAAACTGAAATGACGACGAACGCTTAGAAAGTTAATACTGAGCTTTTTTTGACATTCTAGTTCTATCACTTTTATACGAATATTGACTAACTCATTCCCCAGGTCTGTCCAGAAGATCCTGTCCTCTGACACATCGATGCCGAATGGAGGGAGTGCTAATGCGTCCTCCACAAGCAACTTCCGGTCTTTTCCATCTGTGGTTATAGATTCGATCCTCTTCATCCCAGAGTCTGTCCAAAACAGCCGCTGCTGTGTCACATCTGTAAAAATTAACGGCTATAATTTAGCCATGTACACTCAGCCATGTTTTTCTGTCTACGTTTTCTGTTTACGTTTAAATTAATACCACTATCATTTTACAAATGGATATTCATTTACTGTTATTTGGCATTTAAAGGGGTAAAGTTAGTAGGCATAAGTAGTCAGGCGACATTTTATATAATTATGCACATGTAGTATGCCAACTCCTTCAGGGGCTACAAAATATTTGTTGCGTCGTTTCCCTTTTACAATTTACAAAAAAAATTCTCTATTTTAGCAAGAAGTGTATGTATTTTTTTATAGAGGGACCTTTATATCGCTCTGATATTTACAATTACAGTTACTGATTAAGACATTGACAAGTTTCTCTTTAAAATCGACAAAGATTACGATTCAACAATGTATTAAAACATGCAGTATTTAGAAGGATCTAAAGTGCGGTACGTTAAAATCAAATACCAAAGATAAAATTTGCAAAAAAAAACATGTATATAATTATTAAAAAGCTGAGTATGTTTCAAGGGTAATACCTAAGGTAATGTCGGCAGGCCATTCTAGATCAGAGCTGACCAGAACTTTCCTCTCCTTCCCATCCAGAGTGATTCGTTCAATTTTGCCATCTTCAAAGTCATTTACAAACAGGTACCTGCAGGAAATAACAAAAAGCGTCACAGGCGACAGAACGGGTTTGTTTGTTACTTTGTAACAGGTCAATATTTCAACAAATATATCACGTACAGATTTCTCTTAGAATTCAACTTCTATGACGTTTGTTTTATGATATCAGTATCACTGCCCCTAGGCATACCATGCCCATGCATTCCCTGCACGTTTTGTTATTTTTTTAGTAAACATTTTGTACGTACCAGAAAAGGGCACGCCACGGCAGCCCGTTGGTCAACAAGTAACAGATAACACGTAACAAGGTGAGTTTTCCTTTTCAAGAAAAAAAATACAAACTATTTCTCGCCGGGCGCATTAATAGTATGCAGCCATAGACTCAGATAGATTAAGATTTTTTTTTTTAAATTACCGTTTGTTATCTTTTTTAAAATGATTTCTGCTTCTTACAGCTACATATTGAATTGTGCCAAAATATACTTTTTTTTACAATTATTATTGTTTCAATTATTTACAATACCCTTCTCCTGAATTAAGTGCCTCTTTGAGTATCTTAGTACTTGTTGGAAACGCATTTTCTTGGACTAAAAAAAGGACAAAATAAAATTGGGTCTTGATACGATATCTGAGAGTTTCTGTTAGATTCATCTGAATGCTCTGGTGACAAAAATAGTCTACAAATGTTTTGGGGACTTTACGTCACATCAGCAATGATAAAAAGACAAGTGTATCAGAGAGTCGCGTCTTTAAACACTTCATGGTGGAAACTTAATGTGCCATACCTGTCTTAATAAACTGTGTTTTAACTAAAAAGAACAAGGGTTGTGTGGCGTACGGGCAGAGTGCTCGACCGGGGTACCGGGTGCGAGTTCTGATATGCTACTGATCTCGTGCCCTTGGGAAATGACCTTTACACCACTTTCCTCACCTCGCTCATGTGGAAATGAGTATTGTACTGTCCCCTGTGTTGGTGGTAGCATTAATATAAGTGAAAAAAAAACTTGAGTGTGCCTTCAACACATCTTATGGTTACATATTGTAATAAAAATACGGCTGCAGACGCATGCATGGTGCTACTCGAATATGCATATTTTTAGCCTAATTGTGTGTTAACATAATATTTTTACCCCTTAATAGGATCAACTGCCAATCCTCTGGGCCTGTTCAGGTCTTCACTCAGAAAAGTTCGCCGATAGGATCCATCAAGTTTAGACATCTCAATCACACTTCTCCCCATACCCGTCCAAAACAGATTATCTCCTATCCAATCAACTGCCAAGAAATCCGGAGTGACGAGATCATCATCCACAACAACCTCCCTAATAGAGAAGTAAATGTGCACAATATGAGCAATGTAAGAACTCTGAAATTGCTGTGCAGAGTGTTTTCCCTGCTAAATAATGTTATTCATTCAATCGTTATCATGCGGGTCTTATATTGTATATTTGTAAACTGGCAACGTCCTAAACCAAGTTTTTTTGGGAAATTACGTACCACATGCGAAAAAAAAATGATAAAAGGATTCTGTGAAACACAATTAGACTTTTTTTAACAGATGTTGTTGTTTTCGCCATGAGATATTACAATAGACAGTAAAGACAAAGTAAAACATCTAGTTGAAAAGAGGAATATGGCAATAGGTTAAAAGAAACATGTATTGTATACTAATAACCAGAAATTTACCTTTGCCGTGTATTGTTCAGATATGTTCTGTAGATGGCGTTGCTTTTCAGTTCTCTAAAGAACAGCATTTGTTTTTTCCAGTGAAAGGCCAAGCTTAAAACGTTTCTCATGCCGGGTATCTGGACGTATTCTGGAGTAGCCGAACTGTCTAAAAACAACTTTCTAATATCCCGTTCTGTCGTGTACAGCAGATAAGGTCTCCTTTCGTCATCTAAAGAAATATACAGTTATGTATAACAACGCTTTTACTGCAAAAAAGTATGATTAGCATTTTAATAAAAAAAATAAAGAAAAAAAAAATAAAGAAAAAAATGATAAAAAAGATAATTGTAAATATCCATTGAATTAAATGAACTTAAAAATCGCAATGGGTCAAAATATTCTAGAATCATGCTACACTTTCTCTTTTAATTAATGCTTATTGTTTAAATGAAATATATTGAAACATATATTTCTACTTAAATTAGGAGATGGTAATTTAAGAAAAGCACGGCACAACTAAAAATTTGCTAGGTACAAACTATATGTTATATAATATGTATATTATAACAGATACAAAAGAACACATAAGAAAAAAATTCCATGAAAATAACTCAAAGTAAACAGTTGTGTTTTCTTAAAAAAGAACATGGAGTTGATACAGCTCGGCGACTTTTCAGGCACCTTCGAGCAAGATACACAATTGTAAGCATTTGTGGCAATTATAGATATTTAGCAACATCAGGGCTGGGACAAAAAACATAGGATTTTTCTGGGACAAAAGAAAATGAATGCCAGCCCTTCTTTGGTTTATCAGGCAGACGTCCAGGCTTTTAGATCCGGAAA